ATATTAACTTAATTTATTGTAACTTTATTATAATTATATATATTTTTTCCGCCACGTAGCACCACGCTACGGAGATTTTACGCTAACTATCGTCTGTACAGTATGTAAATTAGGTACCGTAAGTCTACTACTGTACTGTAATTTTATACATTTCTTGTGAAAGAAACATTTCTTATTCAACAGCAATTAAAATTATTTATATTAATGATGTCTCCAAAGTTCAACGAAGTTTTCGCAGAAAAATAAGTTATTAGAAATCGGCTGCTGTTTGCTGAGCTGTTCCGCGATGAAAACAAGCTTGAGCAATGGCGATGTCAAATGGTGCACACTCAGTAAGTAATCCTATGATTTTTTGTTTATAGTGTAGTTTATACGGATTATTTCCAAAAAAATATACGTATTTTGGAAATGTTGAGTCGGATTAGTCTAAAATCAATTAATTTTATGGAAGAAAACCTTTGAATCAGCCGTAGTCCGTAAACTTCACACGTGTCGGGCTGTGATTGGAACGACTCGTAAGAAATCGGATTGATAAAGAATGGAACTTATCTATGATCTTATAGGGGGGTCAACCGTAATTACTGCCAAGCAGTAATTTAAATCCCAACTAAGAGTTTTATTTAAGACAAAAACTAGAAGAATGAATTGTTGATTACATTTAGATTATTTATAAACTTAAAGGCAATTATTGAAATAATCAGCTAATAAAGTTTTGTTTTTTCATTACTGTATATAAACAATATTTTAATCATTCTACAATTCTAACTTTTTAAAAGTTATGACATTAAAAAATTTAAAAAATGTATAATTACTCATTGTCTCAAAGTATATTTTACCAATGAATTCTTCAAATTGTAGTAGACTTTTCTGTCCAGAGGAATCTTGTTACTTCCAGTGGATCCCTGTTCATTGCAAGAAAATTTTGACCTTGTTTTCTTCTTTTATTAATGGGAGAATTGCTCGTCATGATCTTCTTCGGAACTTGAAAAGCAGAATTCTGAAGATGATCATGAAGAACAATTCTCCCATTAATAATAATAATAATAATTAAAAAAGAAAAAAAAAGTTAAAATCCCCCTGCAATGGACAGGGATCCACCAGAAGTAACTAGGAGACCTCTGGACAAAAAAAGTTGACTACAGTTTGAAGAATTTATTTGCAAATGGTGAGAATTATCTGAAGAGAATGAAAAAGCAATCTATTCTGCATCAAGTAAGTATATTTTATGTAATTAATTGTTGTTCTTACTTTTTTTTATGAACTTGAATGGGTCATGTGTATCTGTCTCAAAATTCTGTATCTTCATCTAGACTAGCAATTCCCAACTGGGGGTAGGTGCTTGGTGTTTTAGGGGTACGCAAAACAAATTAATAATGTTGGATGTACTATAAAAATATTCAGATTCTGCATTGAGATCTTTTGGTGACATCATAGGACAATGCTTACTTTTAAATATCATATTTTTATTATATTTATCTGTACCCTTCCTCCAATGCTTTTCAATTTAAAAAAATGTTTTTTTACATGTAATCATACAGCGCTGTATAATTAATCGACCAAGACGTCACTGTTTGACTAACATGCAAAATGAAACTTAAGACAAAAAGCCTGCAGTTCCATAAGAAAAACTGGATACAGTCTGCTGGAAGCTACTAAGTTCACCTGTAGTCCACATCCAGAAAAGGTTGCTCACTGCTGATCTAGATCTACATTATATTAATTTAAGGTTCAAAATGATTTTGAACTTTCTCTACTGTATTTCTAGAAAATTACATCATGATCATTGCTATTTGAATAATTCACATAACAATTACACTTTATGTGAGATTAGCCGGGGGTACTCTTCCACTAAGATTGTTAGTACCACTTAATCAGCGCAGATTGGAAACAATCTGTTCTCGGAGTTTCAGATCGAGAGATCTGATCTCTAATCTTTTTCTAGGAGGACTATTAATATTTAAACCGATCTGAACTGTGAAGTCCTGATCTATGTCAGGATTCCTGGACACAGGTTAATCAAATTTAGATACGCGAATTAACACGCAAGTTGAGATAATATTGATGTGATTCAGACAAAGATGAGACATTTCTTTAAACAAATAATAAAAGATTTAATAAAATAAAAGTAAATAAAATTACACAAATGGAATTATTCAAAAATATAATTAACGAATAAGACAATAGATGAATTAAAATATACGTGCGAGGCTCTGGACAAGTCCGAACCCTCACTAAAATTCGCGTTAAAATAATTGTTTTAGAAAGAAAATAATATAGTAGTTAGAAATAAATTTTTATTTTATGAAAACGCGACGCTAACTTTTAAACAATAGAAGAATGTAAGTCCATCGACCATCTCCGGTTGGAGATCGAATTAAACTTCAATTTTGACCTCTCCCGCGCCCCCGAAAGGTTTCGAATTGTCATCAGGTGACGA